ATGAAGAGTCATCTAGACTGGAAATGTTAGCTTGCTGTCCCTCCATGGATGCTGTCTGACCTGCTGTGATCTCCAGCATCAGAAGGAGGCCAACCAGGTTGGGGAGGGCTTGGATTCACACATAGACCGCAAGCAGTTAAAGTCAGTCACTTTCCTCCTTGAAAGAGCATGACGGAATCAGTTGCATTTTTTTGTTGACAATCAAACAGCTTCAGGTGTCACTTCTACTGAGCACCAGATTTTTATGTCCAAATTTCAATTCTTGAATTGTGTGGTATGGGATGTGAGTGTGCATTCTCTGGGTTATTAGTACAATCACAGGGCACACAAACAAGGAACATGAGGAAGCCACTCAGCCCATAAACCCTGCTCTGCTATTCAGTCAGATAGCGGTTGATCTGATTTTAACCTCAACTCTACATTCCTGCATATCCCCTGTAATCTTTGGTTTCCTTGGTCATCAAGAATCTATCTACCTCTGCCTTAAAATTTTTTAAAGATTCTGCATCTACTGCTTTTTGAGGAAGGGAATTCCAGAGACTCACAACTCTCTGAGAGAAAAGATATTTCCTCATCTTTGTTTTAAATGGGAACCCTCTTATTTTTAAACTCTGACCCTTACTTCTAGATTCTCTCCAAGATAAAACACCCTTTCCACATCTTCCCAATCCAGCTCCCTTTGGATCTTATACGTTTCAATTAAATCACCTCTGACTTTTCTGAACTCCAGAGGATGCAGGCCTTGCCTGACTAGACTTTCCTCATATGGCAATGTGCTCATTGCAGGTATTAATCTCATGAACCATCTCTGAACCGAAAGAATTAACATCCTTCAGTAAGAATGGTGATCAGTACTGAACACGGTACTCCACATGCTGTCTCCCCAATGCCCCACATAAATGAAGCATAACCTTGCTACTTCTACATTCAATTCACCTGACAATAAACCATAACATTCTGTAAGCTTTACTGATTACCTGGTGTACCTGCTCACTAACCATCATGATGTGGAGGTGTTGGTCTTGGACTAGGGTGGACAAGGTTAGAAATCACATGACACCAGATTATAGTCCGACGGGGTTATTTGAAAACACAAGCTTTCAGACCCTCAGTCCTTCTTCTGAGGCTCCGAAAGCTTGTGTTTTCAAATAAACCTGTTG